ACACTGTGTCTCTTACTGAAAGGACCCCAAAACCAAGTTCTCAGCACAAAGGCGATTTATTTACCCCAGAGGGACAAAGAGCAAGGATAAGGGACAAAGGCGAGGTAGAGGACAGAGGAGGAGGGGGCAGGGACAAAGGATGGAGAGGAGACTGATGTTATACACAGGGAAGTGGTGGTCGGTTAGGACGAGGTGTTTAGTTTTAATTGGACATATTAATTAGGGGGCTTTTTGATTGCTGGACTTCAATGCTTTGATAGCTGGACCTTGGTAATCAGCCTCAGGAGGAGGAAATTTCCAGATAAGGGAATGGACTTTGGTGGCTAGCTTTAGAAAAGTAATCTTCTAGTGGTTTGTTGGTTTTTTTTTTTTTTTTTTTTTTTTTTTTTTTTTTTTAGCAAAACAGAGGGGATGGCAGAGAAGGAAGTCCTGCAGAGCAGAGCCATGCTCTCTACCCTGGCCAGAGCTCACTTCCTGACCACAGGATTCATTTTTCTTCCAGCTCACCTGGTTCTATGCCTGAGATAGCAGGGTCCTTCCTGCACCTGTCTAATCCTACACAGGCCTAGAAACTGCCTGTGGGAAGCCAGTCTATACAGTCAAAAGTGAAGCCTAGGAACTGCCTGTGGGAAGCCAGTCTATACAGTCAAAAGTGAAGCCTAGGGTTTGTCAATTAGCATCAAAGGGGAAAAGTAAGAACAGCTTAGAGATCTTACCTGGTGGGTCTTACTCTACCTCAAATGGGCCTCGCACAGCAGTCCGCTGGAGAACCTGGCTTACAGGAGTGGCCCTCCCTACCCAGCTGGCTGGCACTGTCTGTCTGTTCACTCACTCAATGTGTCTGGGTCTTTTACGTACAAGTTCGTGTCGTACGCCGCTCGTGTGCCTAGTGTCCCTAGATCCCCTGCGACTTGCCATCGTAGGTGGTTGTGAGCTGCCATGTGGTGCTGAGACTCAAATCTGGGGCCTCTGGGAGAGCAGCCAGTGCTCTTAGCCATCTTTCCACCTGGGCTTTGTTTTTGAGTCTGTAATTGGGCATTGTGTTGGTGTGAGGGTCCAGAGACACACTCTACTCTGCCGCCTCCGCAGCCTAAAGCGTTGCCCTTGGGTGAGGAGAAAGCAAAACAGAAAGGAGACAGGCCATACCATACCGCAGAGTGTCGCCTTGAGCTTCTCAGAAATCGAGGCATGCCAAGTGTTGGCAAAGCTGCAGGGTCTTGCGGGAGACTCAGACACCTGTCCCAGCATTAGCCACACGTGCCGCGTAGACCTCTGAGGTTGCTAAGGAACCTTTTGTTTCTTTTCCCTTTTATTTGAAATGTGAGGTGGCTCTGGTAATGCGTTGGGTAGAATTATAACCTGACAAAGTGAAATTAGCAGCCAGTAGGGAAGGGCCTGAGCGATGCCCTTTCTCATAGGTGGGGCTTCTAGCGATATCCTAGCAAACGTGAGGTTGCAGCTGTTGAGGGGCCGGCCTCAGCAGCTGGCAATGGTGCTGGAGCGTTCGCTGCTCTGTTGGTGGCTTCAGCTGGACTTAAAGTGAGGGTCCCTTCCTCTGCCCCTGTCCCCAGGTTTCCCTGCTTTTCCGTTTGCCGCAGCAGTATTTCTATGTGAGTGGAACAGAGGAGAGCTGCAGAGAGCAGAAGACAGACCAAACATGATCAGAGTGCCTTGTGGGGCAGAAGCTAGAAAGGGGCTGTTGAGCCTCAGGTGGCTTCGGTGTGAGGATTAAACGGGTTGGAACCTGGTTGGTGGTGGCAGGCTACAGCTGGCCTGCTCGGGGAGGTGATGTCGCCGCTGACTGGTTCCAGTTTCTAGCTCCTCACTGCTGTGTGGGTGCTGCTGTGCATGACTCCATTTGGATGCTTGTTCTGGTTTGGGTATCCACTCTGCCCAAAGCAGCGGCTCATGGTGGTGGAGCTGCCATAAAGGAGTCCTCTTGGCTGCTGTTACCTATCTGACTTAACTCCGTCTGTGTTTCGGTGGACATCATTTTCCTTTTGAGAGGTTGCATGTCCAAGGGCTCCAGTGTCACACAACTGTCTTCCGTCTGCTCCTTGATGACCTGATGACCAGCCTTCTGAAGGTGCATGTGCCGCAGGACACTTCTGCCCGCACATTTAAATGGCAGTTTGGCAGGGTATAAAATTACACCCCCTTCCTCCTGTTCCTCCTGCCTCCGCGCACTGGTGTTCAGTTTCTGAAAACCTCGCTATTTGTTTTCAGTGTGCTCTCTGTGTTGTTTTCTGGTTTGGTTTAGTTGTTGTTGCAGTTGGCCTTGCTATACTGCCCAGGCTGGCTTTGAGCTCCTGGGCTCAACAGTGTTCTTGCACGGATAGCTGGAACTTCACGTGCCTAGCACTTTGGCCAGCTGTCCTCCATCTGTAGAGTAAATGCCGCCTCTTATTTCCTGGTAAGAAGTAAACACTCATACTAGACCTAGGGCAAAACCTCCAAATTGAGACCATGTAGCAACTCTCAGCTGTTGGGCTTATTTTATTTCATTTAAAATTTAGATGGCCTTTTACTCTGTAGCCTGGGCTAGGCCTTGAACTTGAAATAATCCTCCTGTCTCAGCCTCCCCAGTCCAGTTTACAAGCATGAGTCACCACATCTGGACAGTTTTATGGAGTGTGTGTGTGTGTGTGTGTGTGTGTGTGTGTGTGTGTGTGTGTGTGTGTGTGTTTTAAGATAATCTTTGTATGTAGCCCTGTCTGTCCTGGAATTTGGTGTGTAGACTGGTGGACTGGCCTGAAACTCACAGAGATCCACCTGCCTCTGACTCCTGCCTAGGTGCTGAGATGAAAGGTGTGCGCCACCATGCCAGGCATGGAATCAGTCTTTCTTCCGTTTGCCTTGGCCTTCACCCTCATGTAGGGGAAATGTATGAAAGGTGAGAGTTGCTGGCTAGTGCCGAGAACTGGTGCTGGTGGTGAGGGAACTCTGTGGGTCTCGTTCGTATTTAAGCATGCTGGGCTTCAAATGACAATCGCCTCGTCAGTAATCAGTTAGGCTTTATAACCTTAAAGTATCTATCAGTTCCAAAGTCTGTCTGCTGTGATGTTTTCTCGGTCGTTGACATTATGCCACCCATTTTGCAATTGGGAGGCACTGCATTAGGATTGGACCGAGCTCCTGGGAAGCTGGGTTGTGGGACTGACCTCTTTGGCTTTGTTCCTAGCTCCAGGGTGTCACTCTTGATTCTGGAATACACTTCGTGCCTAAGGCAGGGTCCCTCTGGGAGTGCATTGAAAGCCCTGGGGCTTCTCAGGGCCTCTAATTGGTAAAAGGGGGGCCTTCCTCTGCCTTCTTGGGGCAAGAGACGCTGCACTCCCCAATTAATACTTTGAGCCTCGTTTGCCACAGGGTTCCTTGTATTCACATCCTGCCTGTAGCTCATGAGTCAGCCAGTGCTGGGGGAAGGTTACTCCTCCAATTTCCTGGCCCTCACCCCAGGGAGGCTGCTCCCGCCTGCCATGCTCATATGTTGTGTGAATGTGCAGCCCAACAGGTGGCTCATCCTTGGCCAAGGTTATAACACTTCCAGTTTCTCTTCTGTTTGTTCTTTGGAATTACCAAGTGGTTGTTTTTGATATTTGTTCTGGGATTTATTATCGCTTTTGACAAAAGAACTAGTCTGATACAAATATCCTGTCATTACTTGGTTCCAGACATCCCAGTCAGTGATCCGTTATGGGTGAGAGGACAAAACACTGAGGAGTGTGGCTTCCCATAGGACCCAGAGCCCAGACGCCGGCCCAGCCAGATCCAGCTCCCCCCCCCTCCCCCCCCCCCCCGCTCCCTGTACTGTAAAGGAGATGGCCCTACTGGCAGAGAAATATGGCCCCCAGGGTTATTGGTTTTGCTCTTTGAACATAGAACACTGGCTGGCATCTCTACCAAACAAACTTTCTCTCTGTTCTTGAACTGAGCCCGTTTCTTGAGGCAGAGAACCTGTCTGGGCGGCTGTGCTCCGAGGGCTGTGCAGGGCAGGTTACTTGGCCACACCGCCTGTCGCTGTCCTGCCTCTGTGTCTCTCTGTCCCTCTGTTTTCTTGCCCTCTTGTCCCACTGCTGCCTCTGTCCCCCCAGCCCAGCACCCATAAAGGTTCCCGCCCTTCTCTCCCAGTTGTGGCCCGATCTTTGTACTCAGCACAGTGTCTGTTGGTGAAATGTGGACGTACATTTTACAAATGTCCTGGTGAAGCCATTGTAAGGTGCAGGCCTCATACTTGGGAAGTACATGCAGACGTCCTCGCTTAGCTCCTGCTGACAGAGCAGTAGAGCGCCTCATTACGTTCTGCCCGCAGTGGGGGCCGCGGGTGGTGCAAGCATGTGGGCCGTCAGTGTGTCAGTTGAGAGCGAGCCTGCAGAGTGCACCGGACACTGCAAGTGGAGTCATCGCTGCTGATTTTAAACGCAGACAGTGCACTGAGCCCTGAGCTGCCTTTTCCCAGTGCTGACATGGACCTGTCAGCACACACAAACCGATAAAGCCCTGCCATGCCCCCTCTGGCTCCCTCGACCTTCTGATGGTTAAAGCAGTGCAGTTGAGTCTGTGTTCCTGTCTTCTCTGAGTGAACACCTCTCCCTCACCCCGCCCGCCCCTTACTCTTAAGAAGGAAGAAAAGCAGCGTGAGGGAGTCCAGTCCACTCCAGCAGTTTGTAGCTCCTGGCTGCTCTCCAGGGCAAGGCTCCATTGACTTCATGCAGCCTGTCCCTCCCAGCCTGGGCAGGCAGGCGGTGAGACTCACTGCTTTTGTCCTTTTTGAGACAGACTGTCTAGGAACTCAGAGATCTGCCTGCCTCTGCCTCCCGAGTGCTGGGATCAAAGGCATGCGCCGCCGCCGCCGCCGCCACCAGCTGAAGCTCTCTTCTAAAACCTATAGACTGGCAGGACTGAGGACGCAGTGTGTTTGTTTACATTGGATTTTCATTGCTTCATGGTTCTCGCGTTCAGGGTTCCAGTCATGCCTCTCACTTCCTGTCCTTTCTTTGCAGGTTTTGCATGCAGAAGTGTGTTAGTCTGGTGCCTGGAGTCACACTGGACTTGATAGAAAAGTAAGTAAGATTTAAGCCCTGGTGGCTTCCTGTGTCTGAGTGCTTTCTTCTTCCTACTGGTGTCCTCAGAAGTCCCTCACATCAGTGTGGAGTTCTCCCCTTTCATGTGGATCTGTCCTTTTGTTCTCTGACTGAGGCTCTGCTTATGATGGTTACACAAGTGTTTGGTGCTAGCATGGGGCCATCTTAAAAGAGAAATGATAAGAAGCTCCGTTCTTGTGGATGTTTAAAATAGTGCAGACTGTGCTGATGCTGAGCACAGGGCTGTCCTTGTGGCCCATCTGAAACAGCCAGGTTATAGCTCCGCTCTGCCCCTCATCTCCTTCTACTTCAGTGTGCTGTGTCTTACCTGCAGCCACGTTACTGTCAAAGGCAAACCTGTTCTAGAAACAGCCAGGGTGAGCACAGTGTGAGAACATGTGTTCTCTCTTGCCAGAAGCCTGGTAAGGTCACTGAGAAGGATGTCTCTCTCCTGTTCTGACTTCTCTGCTTCTGAAATAGTATCTCGTGACTCTAAACTTGGCCTGCATTTGACTCCTCTTTACTTGTGTCAGAGGTAGGAAAACTTAGGGAGGTTTTTGGAGCCCTATATCTTCCAGAATTACTAGATGAACGTGTTCCAAGTATCACACACAGGTGTGCGTGCGTGCGTGCATGCGTGCGTGTGTGTGTGTGTGTGTGTGTGTGTGTGTGTAGACATCCAAGGCTTGAGTTTATTTAAGCAGGTGAGAAAAGCAAGTCTACCCCCATGGATCTCTAGAAAAGTGCTTTCCTTGTGTGTGAGGGAAACAACTCAAGATCCTGTGCCAAGAGCAGAGCTGCCATGCCTTGTGACGCATGCTCAAGGTGCAGCATGCAGAAGAGTGCAGAGTTGCATGCACGCTTTTGGCGCCCATCTCCCATTCTCCTAGTGAGTGAAGAAGATATAGTAGGATGTGTTTCCCATATGTTGTAGACTCTGGATGTAAATGCATCAAGAAGCATAAGCCTCTGGGGATGAGGGTATGAATTGAGACCCAGATAGTGTACTCAGAGCCCTGGATTTGATGCCCCAGCATTGCCCAGTAAAAGAAGAAAGATGGCTCCAGTTTCAGCTGGATGACAGCGCGAAGCTCAATGGGATTCTGACTTTTCCGTGTGTGTGTGTGTGTGTGTGTGTGTGTGTGTGTGTGTGTGTAAATGAAGCATGTAAAACGGATCTATAGCACACTAACAGTCGTCACCATGCAGCCAGGACCGCTGCATGCAGTTCCTCTTGGACTTTGAAAGCCTTCTAAGCTTAAGGGTGCACTCATCCACAAACAGTGGGTAACGAGAAAGAGCACCTCATCTGTGAGTGACCAGGGCACATGGCAGGCTCTGTGATCTCTGCCAGGCAGGGCTTGGTCTTAACAGAGCAGTCTGGAAGCAGAGCATGATCCACAGCAGGATGGGGATGTTGGTAAAGTGGACCTGGGTGGGTACTGCTTCATTCAGGAGCAAAGCGGGCTGCCCCTAGCCAGACACATAGGAGGAGTTGGCCTGGTGCAGGCACAGTAGAAAGACCTAGAGGCCTCTTGAATCGTGTCACCAGCACCTGCTCAGTTATGTACGCAGCCCGTGCTGTCTCGAGTGTAACCTAGGAGCACATTTGCTGAATTTTCGTAACATCACAGCATAGTTGGTGTTAGGACCCATGGATTGGATGGTGACAGATGGGCACATGTCCCCTTCCTATCTGTTGTGTCCTCAGTGCTCACAAATGTTACACAGGTGTCATCGGGGACCACAGTGATGGTGCTGCTGAGACCAGGGGTCAGAGTTCCAGAGAGGGCTGGGCAGTGCTGACCCCTGGCACATCCCCACCCGTGGCTCGGGCAAGGCCTTTCCCAAACCTCAAAGGCAGAGTAATGCTGGAGCTCCTCCTGGGGCTGGCACAAAAGGTGACTTTATTCCTGGGACTTCACTCTTGAAAAATGAAACCTCAGGCTGGAGCAAGCAGTGGCCCAGTAGTTAAGAGCACTTGCAGAAGACCCAAGTTTATTTCCCAGCATTCATAAGGCAGCTCAGTTTCAGGGGGTCAGACACACCACACACACACACACACACACCACACCACACACACACACACACACACACACACACACACACACACACACCAAATAGATTTTTTTGAAAAAAGAAAAGAAAATTTTGAAAAAAGAAAAGAAAATTGAAACTTGCAGAGTAATTCAGATGGAGTTACATGAGAAGATGTAACACACACAACACAAGTGGTTGCAGAAGCCAGTCTCCCAAGAGCGGCATTCTGGAACAAAACAGACCTGTGGGGAGGGAGAGCAAGAGGGTCAGGTCAGGACTGTGGTGAGTGACCCAGGAGGCCAGCAGGGAGGGATCCTGCCTGTGGCTCCACAGATGCGTCAGAGCCATAGAACTCACACCAAAGGAAGTCAGTTTGCTTTGTAACAGGAAAACATGTAGAGGCGGTAGCAATGCCCTAAGAGGGTGCTAGACAGAATCACACAGGGCACAGCAGAGGTGAAGCGGCTGTTGACAAGGTGACCAGAATAACGCAGGTTATTTCCCTTTCATTATTGGGAGTGCCCGGTGAGGCTGACATGCCGCAGTGGGCTTCCTTCTAGTTAGGAAAGGCCAGTGCTTCTGTAAGGCACCGCTCTCCAGGTGGGACCCACGGCCTCTGCTGCTGGCTGTCCTCGTCCTTCCTGCCCTGCCCTAGCCTTTCTGCTTTCTCATATAGAGGGTCAGCTCTTCGGCCTCTGGAGGTGAACTCAGAGGACCCTCTTCACCTCCCCTCCTGTGACAAGTGGTGACAAAAAGTTGGTCAGGTGCTAAAACACTAGGTGTGGTGTTTTTATTTGTTTTTATGTAAATGTGTTCTTGCATGTATGTATATATGCCGTGTGAGTGCCTGGGGCTGGCAGATTCCAGGAGGTGATGTCAGATGCCTTGGAACTGAAGTTACAAGCAGTTATTATGTTGCTTCGTGGGTGCTGGGAACCAACCCCAGGTCCTCTGTAAGAGCAACGGGTGCTCTGAACCACTGAACCATCTCTACAGTCTTTAAGTTTAAGAAGGTAAGTGCAGTGCACTGTCCTGGGGCAGGCGCAGGTTTCGGGGTGCACCTGTCTGGGAGGAGCTGAGATGGGAGAAGGTGGACACTGGGTTTCATGTGACACCGCCATGCAACACCGAGAACTTGTCAGTTCTGGGTTAGTATGAAATTTAAGAGCAGAAATAGCCATTTCCAAGAAGACTGAGCAAAAGCTTGTTGAGTTTGGTTTAAGGAGTCTTAGGTGCTGCATTGGTCATCGTGCCTGTGTTTAAGGTGTTGACTTGGATCTGAGTCTATTTCAGTTGTAGCTGACACAAATCAACATTTGAGGCTCCAAACACCCTATTGCTGCTCTCCCTTGTAGCTTGGCAAGGGTTAAACTGAATGCGAATGCGTGATTTATATTTTTATTCCAAGACAAATTACAGACTTGAGAATTACACCACCCTCAGAAGAAGTCTCATACACAGCCCTAGAAGTCACCAGCTGCAGCCACTAGATTGAGTTCTGAGATGTGTGTTTTTCACCTTTGCAGTTTACTTGAGGGATGTTGCCATTTAAAAGAAAGAGTTTTAGACTTTTCAAACCCTGATATATTACAGTCCCATAAGAAGGTTGGGTTTCAAACTAGAAATCTGGGCATCAACTTCCTCTGATGGGTCCTACACAGCCCTCACTTCGTCCACTCTGTTGTTAATCTGGATGTCTCCTCAAAACTTTCCCGTGAGTTCCACAGCTTGCAGCCTGCTGAGGCTGTTCACGCAGGCATCTCCATTACGCACCTGGTATCTCCGTATGCTGCACACGGGGTGCCCGATCATACCGGCTGGCAGTGCTGACCTCAGTGTGGTAGCCTTTTTGTAGCTCAGGAGCACTGTGCTGAGGTTCAGGTATGAGGGACAGTTGGCATGACTACTACACTCGATATTTTCAAGTGGCCCACCTCCCCTTTGTGTGTCGTCATTGTACCCAGCATAGCTGAGTGTCTGTGCAATGCCTGCGCTTGTGTGGCACTCCACCTCTGCACCACCCACCCCGCCCTCCTCCTGGTCCATAGGTGTTCTGCTGCATAGCCAGTATGGTGCCAGTATGTTTATATCGCTACTGAGTTTTTACAAAACTGAAGCACTGATCTGGCTTTCCATAGCTGCCCTTACCACCTCAAAGGGGCAGCCGGACAGAGATGTCTGCAGCTGGGCAGTGGGGTGTAGAACAGGACCAGGCTCGTGTTTCTGCTCTTATGTTTTATTCACGTACAAGCGTTCATCCTGTATTAAGCCATTTTGAGGTTTCTAACGTACAGTGCTGTGGAGACTGCAGGCACAGGTCAGGGGTCAGGCCTGGCATGGACCACGTGCACACACGAACTGCCCCAGAGGTTTTTGTTAGCTTGCCATTCTGGAGACACTAGGTCACTGGGCCATACCTAGCGAGTTCTTGCCTGAAGAGTCCCTAGGCTGTGCAGTATAGTCCATGGTAAGACGGGGGGAGTGTGTGTGTTGCCTGTGTGTCTCCTTTTTAAAGGCCCCTGAATTCAACTGCAGGCTCTACCCACTGACACTACCTAATCCTAGATCCCGCCAGCGGCCCCTTGGCCTGCACACCACACTAGATTCAGTTTGTGTCCTCTTTGTACCTCACAGTAGCGGCTGATGTCAATCCTTGAAACTTCGCAGGACGCACTCTAGGCATAGAGTGTAAGAGAGGGGCATGTAGAACAGAGTGCTTCAGAGGGACATGGAGGCCTTGAGACTCCAGCTTATGCTGTGAGTGGGAGCTGCTCTCCTGCTGCTGACACAGTGCTCCAGAATCCAGTGTCTCCGTGGTGGTTATTCTGGAGGCCGTGGCCCACTGGTTCCCATGTGTAGCCGCCCCTTGCTTCATCACGCATCTGCACACAAGCTGAACAGGCAGAGTGTTGTGACCTGCTGACTGAGGCTGAGCCTCT